ACAGCTATCTGGATGCATGGCTACTTAAGCTAGTCAGTGGGGGAGGCCAGTTGGGGCACGGCATCGCATTGGAAACAACGATGTCAATCCTTTTCTCCGAGGTGTTGCTGACAGCTGCATACGCAACAACGTCGCCCGGTCATCTTCGTGGACACTTCTTCAACTGCGATGGCCTTTGGATCGCCCCAGCGAGTGACTCGACAACTATCCCGGTGGCACCAACGATCAAGTCACCACGCTTGGCCTACAACGTGTATGGTGTCTGGCAACCTCGGACCTCACCGAACAGCTATCTGGATGCATGGCTACTTAAGCTAGTCAGTCGGGGAGGCCAGTTTTGGCACGGCATCGCATTGGAAACAACGATGTCAATCCTTTTCTCCGTCGTTCAGGTGTTGCTGACAGCTGCATACGCAACAACGTCGCCCGGTCATCTTCGTGGACACTTCTTCAACTGCGATGGCCTTTGGATCGTCCCAGCGAGTGACTCGACAACTATCCCGGTGGCACCAACGATCAAGTCACCACGCTTGGCCTACAACGTGTATGGTGTCTGGCAATCTGGGACGTCACCGAACAGCTATCTGGATGCATGGCTACTTAAGCTAGTCAGTCGGCGAGGCCAGTTGGGGCACGGCATCGCATTGGAAACAACGATGTCAATCCTTTTCTCCGTCGTTCAGGTGTTGCTGACAGCTGCATACGCAACAACGTCGCCCGGTCATCTTCGTGAACACTTCTTCAACTGCGATGGCCTTTGGATCGTCCCAGCGAGTGACTCGACAACTATCCCGGTGGCACCAACGATCAAGTCACCACGCTTGGCCTACAACGTGTATGGTGTCTGGCAACCTCGGACCTCACCGAACAGCTATCTGGATGCATGGCTACTTAAGCTAGTCAGTGGGGGAGGCCAGTTGGGGCGCGGCATCGCATTGGAAACAACGACGTCAATCCTTTTCTCCGAGGTGTTGCTGACAGCTGCATACGCAACAACGTCGCCCGGTCATCTTCGTGGACACTTCTTCAACTGCGATGGCCTTTGGATCGCCCCAGCGAGTGACTCGACAACTATCCCGGTGGCACCAACGATCAAGTCACCACGCTTGGCCTACAACGTGTATGGTGTCTGGCAACCTCGGACCTCACCGAACAGCTATCTGGATGCATGGCTACTTAAGCTAGTCAGTCGGCGAGGCCAGTTGGGGCGCGGCATCGCATTGGAAACAACGATGTCAATCCTTTTCTCCGTCGTTCAGGTGTTGCTGACAGCTGCATACGCAACAACGTCGCCCGGTCATCTTCGTGGACACTTCTTCAACTGCGATGGCCTTTGGATCGTCCCACCGAGTGACTCGACAACTATCCCGGTGGCACCAACGATCAAGTCACCACGCTTGGCCTACAACGTGTATGGTGTCTGGCAACCTGGGACGTCACCGAACAGCTATCTGGATGCATGGCTACTTAAGCTAGTCAGTCGGGGAGGCCAGTTGGGGCACGGCATCGCATTGGAAACAACGATGTCAATCCTTTTCTCCGTCGTTCCGGTGTTGCTGACAGCTGCATACGCAACAACGTCGCCCGGTCATCTTCGTGGACACTTCTTCAACTGCGATGGCCTTTGGATCGTCCCAGCGAGTGACTCGACAACTATCCCGGTGGCACCAACGATCAACTCACCACGCTTGGCCTACAACGTGTATGGTGTCTGGCAACCTGGGACGTCACCGAACAGCTATCTGGATGCATGGCTACTTAAGCTAGTCAGTCGGCGAGGCCAGTTGGGGCACGGCATCGCATTGGAAACAACGATGTCAATCCTTTTCTCCGCCGTTCAGGTGTTGCTGACAGCTGCATACGCAACAACGTCGCCCGGTCATCTTCGTGGACACTTCTTCAACTGCGATGGCCTTTGGATCGTCCCAGCGAGTGACTTGACAACTATCCCGGTGGCACCAACGATCAAGTCACCACGCTTGGCCTACAGCGTGTATGGTGTCTGGCAACCTCGGACCTCACCGAATAGCTATCTGGATGCATGGCTACTTAAGCTAGTCAGTCGGGGAGGCCAGTTGGGGCACGGCATCGCATTGGAAACAACGATGTCAATCCTTTTCTCCGTCGTTCAGGTGTTGCTGACAGCTGCATACGCAACAACGTCGCCCGGTCATCTTCGTGGACACTTCTTCAACTGCGATGGCCTTTGGATCGTCCCAGCGAGTGACTCGACAACTATCCCGGTGGCACCAACGATCAAGTCACCACGCTTGGCCTACAACGTGTATGGTGTCTGGCAACCTCGGACCTCACCGAACAGCTATCTGGATGCATGGCTACTTAAGCTAGTCAGTCGGGGAGGCCAGTTGGGGCACGGCATCGCATTGGAAACAACGATGTCAATCCTTTTCTCCGTCGTTCAGGTGTTGCTGACAGCTGCATACGCAACAACGTCGCCCGGTCATCTTCGTGGACACTTCTTCAACTGCGATGGCCTTTGGAGCGTCCCAGCGAGTGACTCGACAACTATCCCGGTGGCAGCAACGATCAAGTCACCACGCTTGGCCTACAACGTGTATGGTGTCTGGCAACCTGGGACGTCACCGAACAGCTATCTGGATGCATGGCTACTTAAGCTAGTCAGTCGGGGAGGCCAGTTGGGGCACGGCATCGCATTGGAAACAACGATGTCAATGCTTTTCTCCGTCGTTCAGGTGTTGCTGACAGCTGCATACGCAACAACGTCGCCCGGTCATCTTCGTGGACACTTCTTCAACTGCGATGGCCTTTGGATCGTCCCAGCGAGTGACTCGACAACTATCCCGGTGGCACCAACGATGAAGTCACCACGCTTGGCCTACAACGTGTATAGTGTCTGGCAACCTGGGACGTCACCGAACAGCTATCTGGATGCATGGCTACTTAAGCTAGTCAGTCGGGGAGGCCAGTTGGGGCACGGCGTCGCATTGGAAACAACGATGTCAATCCTTTTCTCCGTCGTTCAGGTGTTGCTGACAGCTGCATACGCAACAACGTCGCCCGGTCATCTTCGTGGACACTTCGACTGCGATGGCCTTTGGATCGTCCCAGCGAGTGACTCGACAACTATCCCGGTGGCAGCAACGATCAAGTCACCACGCTTGGCCTACAACGTGTATGGTGTCTGGCAACCAGGGACGTCACCGAACAGCTATCTGGATGCATGGCTACTTAAGCTAGTCAGTCGGGGAGGCCAGTTGGGGCACGGCATCGCATTGGAAACAACGATGTCAATCCTTTTCTCCGTCGTTCAGGTGTTGCTGACAGCTGCATACGCAACAACGTCGCCCGGTCATCTTCGTGGACACTTCGACTGCGATGGCCTTTGGATCGTCCCAGCAAGTGACTCGACAACTATCCCGGTGGCAGCAACGATCAAGTCACCACGCTTGGCCTACAACGTGTATGGTGTCTGGCAACCTGGGACGTCACCGAACAGCTATCTGGATGCATGGCTACTTAAGCTAGTCAGTCGGGGAGGCCAGTTGGGGCACGGCATCGCATTGGAAACAACGATGTCAATGCTTTTCCCCGTCGTTCAGGTGTTGCTGACAGCTGCATACGCAACAACGTCGCCCGGTCATCTTCGTGGACACTTCGACTGCGATGGCCTTTGGATCGTCCCAGCGAGTGACTCGACAACTATCCCGGTGGCAGCAACGATCAAGTCACCACGCTTGGCCTACAACGTGTATGGTGTCTGGCAACCTGGGACGTCACCGAACAGCTATCTGGATGCATGGCTACTTAAGCTAGTCAGTCGGGGAGGCCAGTTGGGGCACGGCATCGCATTGGAAACAACGATGTCAATCCTTTTCTCCGTCGTTCAGGTGTTGCTGACAGCTGCATACGCAACAACGTCGCCCGGTCATCTTCGTGGACACTTCGACTGCGATGGCCTTTGGATCGTCCCAGCGAGTGACTCGACAACTATCCCGGTGGCACCAACGATCAAGTCACCACGCTTGGCCCACAACGTGTATGGTGTCTTGCAACCTGGGACGTCACCGAACAGCTCTCTGGATGCATGGCTACTTAAGCTAGTCAGTCGGGGAGGCCAGTCGGGGCACGGCATCGCATTGGAAACAACGATGTCAATCCTTTTCTCCGTCGTTCAGGTGTTGCTGACAGCTGCATACGCAACAACGTCGCCCGGTCATCTTCGTGGACACTTCGACTGCGATGGCCTTTGGATCGTCCCAGCGAGTGACTCGACAACTATCCCGGTGGCACCAATGATCAAGTCACCACGCTTGGCCTACAACGTGTATGGTGTCTGGTAACCTGGGACGTCACCGAACAGCTACCTGGATGCATGGCTACTTAAGCTAGTCAGTCGGGGAGGCCAGTTGGGGCACGGCATCGCATTGGAAACAACGATGTCAATGCTTTTCTCCGTCGTTCAGGTGTTGCTGACAGCTGCATACGCAACAACGTCGCCCGGTCATCTTCGTGGACACTTCTTCAACTGCGATGGCCTTTGGATCGTCCCAGCGAGTGACTCGACAACTATCCCGGTGGCACCAACGATCAAGTCACCACGCTTGGCCTACAACGTGTATGGTGTCTGGCAACCTGGGACGTCACCGAACAGCTATCTGGATGCATGGCTACTTAAGCTAGTCAGTCGGGGAGGCCAGTTGGGGCACGGCATCGCATTGGAAACAACGATGTCAATGCTTTTCTCCGTCGTTCAGGTGTTGCTGACAGCTGCATACGCAACAACGTCGCCCGGTCATCTTCGTGGACACTTCTTCAACTGCGATGGCCTTTGGATCGTCCCAGCGAGTGACTCGACAACTATCCCGGTGGCACCAACGATCAAGTCACCACGCTTGGCCTACAACGTGTATGGTGTCTGGCAACCTGGGACGTCACCGAACAGCTATCTGGATGCATGGCTACTTAAGCTAGTCAGTCGGGGAGGCCAGTTGGGGCACGGAATCGCATTGGAAACAACGATGTCAATGCTTTTCTCCGTCGTTCAGGTGTTGCTGACAGCTGCATACGCAACAACGTCGCCCGGTCATCTTCGTGGACACTTCTTCAACTGCGATGGCCTTTGGATCGTCCCAGCGAGTGACTCGACAACTATCCCGGTGGCACCAACGATCAAGTCACCACGCTTGGCCTACAACGTGTATGGTGTCTGGCAACCTGGGACGTCACTGAACAGCTATCTGGATGCATGGCTACTTAAGCTAGTCAGTCGGGGAGGCCAGTTGGGGCACGGCATCGCATTGGAAACAACGATGTCAATCCTTTTCTCCGTCGTTCAGGTTGGTTACGTTCCCAATTCTCACTGCCACCGAAGTAACGACTCCTGTTTTATTGCGGTGTCGTGCCCCCACGACGTTTCTGAGTGTCGACGCCGACTGTTTATGCTCCTGGCGCAGAGTGCGCATGCCGTTTACCTAGCATTGCTAGCCCTGCAATTGTCTGGAGATATCGAAACCAATCCCGGACCAGACAGTGTTGATTCCCAAGTGGCTAATATTTTGAGCATTGTAACTAGAATTGAGATTGGCCAAAGCCACATGTTTACCGAAATTAAGAAGCTCCAGGACGCCCAATCATCAACAGATGTGGCAATAAAGAACCTTAAAGAAAAGGTAGCGGCAATAGAGGCCGATCTAAGCTCTATGAGGACGGCTTCGGATGGGAGCGGAAGCAGTACGGAATTTTCCAACAAAATTGCATTGGAGTTATCGGAAGTAAACGCAAGGTGCGACGATGCCGAATACAGGCTTCGGAGATTGAACTTATTGTTCTTTGGCATCCCTGACTTGCAAAATGAAACTTGGATTCAATCGGAGGCAACTATTTTGAGCTTCTGTGAGCAACGGCTGGGAATTAAGCTTGACCCGAACGACCTTGAGCGGTCACATAGGCTTGGAAAGTTTTTACCTAACAAAAATCGGCCCATCATTGTCAAGTTCTTGCGTTACAAAGATAGACAGAACATTCTCTCTTTGGGCTTTAAACTAAAAGATTCTGTGTACGCCATTCGGGAAGACTTATCGGACGCTGTCCGCACCGCTCGTAACAAACTGTACTTGTTTGCTCAGTCTCAAAATGAAACATTCAAAATCCGCTATGATAAGCTGCATATGAATAATAAGTGCTATAAATATGACGTTTCCTCCGACTCTGTTATAGAAGTCTCTAGATAACTGAAGATTCCTAACGTCACACCCCTTCGCCCAGCTGTGCACGCGAGGGAGTCAGAAAGTTTGAACTACCGGGTTACATTTACTAATATACGCAGTGTTATGACTAAACGTGATTATCTAAGTGCATTCATTTCTGACAATAACTCTAGCATTGTCATTCTAACGGAATCCTGGCTGAAACCAGAAATAAACGACAGCGTAATTTTTCTTGATGAACTGCAGTTTGACGTTTATCGAAAAGATAGGATTTCGAAACGAGGAGGGGGAGTGCTCATCGCGATAAAAAAATGTGTCTCCTCATTTTGTGTTCGAGCCTGTCCTGACCTAGAGACTGTGTTCGTCTGCATTACATCGGCATTTAGGCAAACCATAATTGGCGCATGTTATCGGGCGCCAAGTCGGGATAGTGATTATTGTGACAATCTGCACTCTGTTTTGCTTAACATTCAGGGCCTTTACCCGAAAGCGCAATTCCTAATCTTTGGCGACTTCAACTTTCCAGACATTGACTGGGTTAATTATACCACAAGCGGGTCGAATCATGCTAAAAACTTTCTCGATAACTGCTTGAACTTCAACCTCATCCAAGTTGTTAATCAGCCCACTCTTGGTGATAGCGTTCTTGAACTTGTCCTTACTAGCTCTCCGGAACTTATAGAAAATGTTAACTCTGTTCCAGGTTTAAGTGACCACAATATCTTGCTCATTGAGTTATCAATTCCCGTCCTCACGAGGAACCCCACAATCAAAACAATCCGCTACTTCAACAAAGCTGATTACGTTGCAATAAATCAGCACTTATCGTCCTTTTATCAAACATACGCCGAAAACTTTTTTTCAAGGTCGGTTGAAGAAAACTAGTTACTTTTTAAAAATAAAATAAACAGTCTCACTGAGCAGTTCGTCCCCACTGTCACTGTGCGGAGCGACAGGAATAACCCCTGGTATAACAAAACACTGCGTTCATTGAACAATAAAAAGAAACGTTTGTATAAAAGAGCGAAACGGCTGAACGTTAACTCTGTTTGGAATGAATACTTTGCGTGCCTCAAAACTTATACAAAAAGTATTAGATCGTCAAAACAGAAATTCTTCTCTTTAGATTTACCAACAATTTTGCGCTCTAACCCCAGAAGTTTTGGAAAATATTTTCGCCTAGAGGCACTAATTCGATTCATCTACAGGACGAAAATGAAGTCGCTGTATCTGATCTTCATTGCGCTACTGTATTAAATCATTATTTCTCTTCTGTGCTCACCTGTGAAAATACCACTGATATTCCATGTTTACCCTTGTCCGACTTTGTACCTATGGCTTCCATTGACAATTCAGCCGATGGAATACTTCACCTCATAAAAAAATTATAACTAGCGTCATCTTGTGGTCCCGATAATATAAACCCGAAAATTCTTAGCAATACCAAAGTTACATCTAGTGAGTGTCTTAAATTGATCTTTTCTCAGTCGCTGGAGCAAGGTTGCTTACCCTTGGACTGGAAGCTGGGCAAGGTCGTTCCAGTCTTTAAACGCGGTGATCGTAAGCTGCCCTCGGACTACCGTCCTATTTCATTAACCTGCATTGCGTCCAAACTTCTTGAGCATGTACTATTTTCTCACGTTATTTCCCACCTAGAAGAAAATAACTTTTTTTACAATCGCCAGCATGGTTTTCAGAGGGACTTCTCGTGCGAAACGCAACTTGTAGAGTTCACTCATGAACTTTTCACTAATACTGACTCACTAAGTCAAACAGATGCCTTGTTCCTTGATTTCTCGAAGGCATTCGACAGGGTTCCTCCTCATCGCCTAATCGATAAACTTTCTTGTCCTGGCATTGACCCTCTTGTTGTCTCCTGGATACATGACTTTCTTTTTTCTCGTACCCAGTTCACTGTTGCTAACAACCATAAATCAAACTGCAGTCGCATCACTTCTGGGGTTCCTCAGGGATCCGTGCTTAGACCTTTACTGTTTCTAATATTTATTAACGATTTACCTAACTCAATCACGTCTAGCATCCGTCTCTTCGCGGATGACTGTGTTCTGTATCGCAAAATTAATTCTCGCAATAACCATCTTCAGCTTCAAAGTGATTTAAGTTTAATTTATGCTTGGTGTTCCAAATGGCTCATGTCATTGAATATGTCAAAATGCAAGCTGGTTCGCTTTACTAAAAAAAAAAAAAAAAAAAACAAGCAACTTTTTATATTTTATTGGCTCCGACCTAGTTGACTCTACATCTTATTATAAATACCTTGGTGTAACGCTGACAAGTGATTTAATCTGGAATAACCACATCGAAACTATTGTGGCAGAAGCTTCCCGGACTCTGGGGTACATCAAACGAAATTTGAAAGAAGCGCCCTCTCACTTACGAAAATTGGCCTACGAAACATATGTGCGACCGAAATTGGAATACGCATCGGCCATTTGGAGCCCACACCAAGCCTATCTCATCGGCCATCTTGAGTCCATCCAAAATTGTGCTGTTAGATTTATCCTAAACGACTATTTCCCAACGACAAGTGTTTCATCTCTCAAACGTCAGCTCGATATCCAAACTCTCAACGTACGACGTAAAATAACACGCTTAAGTTTGTTTCATAAGGTTTACCATTTTCACCCAATACTACGTTCCTCACTGCTTCTTCCTCCTAGTATATCATAATCACGGCTAAACCACTCACGCCATGTGTCGCGGATCACTGGTTGCACTAATTATTTTAACCAATTTTTCTTCCCACAGACCATCATAGACTGGAACGACCTGCCACCTAATATAGTGGCCATTGATGACCCTACCTTGTTTCGTGATGCTATAATTTCACGTTTTTACTAAGAATCAATCATTGTATTTTTTCACATCTTATGCAAGTGCAGCATTGTTAGCTGCAACACCTGGTGCTTTGTTTTTGTATTTTTTCATGTCTGACCCCTCCCCTCTTATGTAATGCCCTTGAAGAAGGGCCCTTAAGGGTACAATAAATGAATGAATGAAAAAACAGTCACGCCTGATGAAGGAGGCCAATTGGATGCTTAACGTCGGGATCTCTTTTATTTGTTGTTAGAGCCTTACTTTTTACATTCCTAACAAGGTGGATGTCCAATAATTTGTTTTGTATGTTTACTGTGAAGTCTGTAAGCAATGGCTATGTACCTGTCGTTGTCCGGCTTGCCAAACGATTTGGTCACCTGGCCAGCTCTCTTTCAACTGTCAAGGCTTGTCTCACTTAAAACAAAACTTGCTGGAATTGCAGGGGATTCCGAAGTGCCTACGCCTGAAACTGTTAGCTTACATCTGCGAGCGTCACGGGGTAAAGCAAGCCGAGGGTTGTCTGTTTGACTCAAGAAGAAAAAGACGAGAACAACGGGCACTATGAAAGACGAAAACGAGGACAAAGCAGTCACCCGCTATCAAGGGGCCGAGCTGGCCTCGAAACGTCTGGATCTTTATTATTTTGGTCAGAGCCTTACTGTTTACATTTATATCATTCTTTACCATGTGGATGTTCACAAAAATGTTTACTTTCAAGGATGTAGTTTTTAGTTGATCAGCTACTGCTCTTGGGGATCGCAGAGCTCGGGAGAATATTCAAGAAAGGTTGTAGGTTAGTGAGGAACAGAATAACATATTTTTATGCAGTCAATCTCTGAATTTGTGCTCTGAAGAAATATATGATCCAGTTAGCTTTAGTGGTCGTGCATTTCATATGGTGGTTGCAGCACAGATTCCGTAGCATTATTAAGCAAAGTGGCGCGTTCCCTTTTGTAAAAATTCAAACCAATGCTTTCCTCTCGGCTACGCCTGAAACTCACAGCAGGACAGAGAGCGTACTATGTTTTTTATATTGTTAAATACACTGTGGATGGTTCAGCGTGTTGGTTTCTAATTTACGACAAGAAAAGAGGGCCATTTTCTTCAATGTCCCTCTTTCCTTATCGTAAATGCTAAATACACTTCTTCCGTTATAAAATGGCGCTGAATATTTGCGGAAAAGTCAACCGTAGCTTTTCGGAGGTCCACTATTTTGTGATCTTTGTTCATTTTGGCGATAATGACAGAACAGAAGAACAGTACTACTAGAGCAATGTGTTCAGCTATGCCACGGGGGGTATTATAGATATGTGATATCTAACACAGCTGTAAAAGGAAGCCACAAATGTTGTACACAGTGCCCGTATTTTGAAAAGGCGGCGCCGTCGGGCGTTGAAATAAAGAAAAGGAACAGCTGCCGGATTTTCTGCTTGTGCCGTCAACATTCGGTTTACTGTCGCATGCAATTTTCCACAACTCGAAACCAACAACCGACTGTGTTTGAAAATAAACCTGAACCAGCGTCAATGCTATTGTATCTGCCGAGCGCTAAAAACTATTTTTGTTCAGAGGACAGAAAATACATACGATGTGGTAAACTTACAACATTGCGAAATTACCTCACTTGAAAAACATGAAATAACGAAAATGAAGTGTACTTACTCCCAACCTGCGAATGTGAGAAACCACAAATGCGGTTAATGTGATGTCCTCTAAATTCAAATGGTGGATTCAGATGCGTCGCAACTCTGCGCAAAAAGAAATACTGTAAACTACTTAATTTTCGCGAGGATCCAATTTTTTTGCGAATTTTGTGAATCGCCTACAATTTGCGAAAAATAAGTCCCGCGAACAATTCCGGTAAAATGTAAACACATTGGAATCTATAGTGATATCCCACCGCGTCGCGAAAATTAGAACCCGCAAATATTTTGAAAACTTCAGCTTTGACCTACATCGCAAAATATTAGGCCGGAGAAAAATTCCTGGTTTACAGTAGAATAGAATAGAATAGTTTATTTCAGACATACGTGTGTCATACATATGTCTGGGGGCCTGCAGCAAAAGAAGGCAAAAAAACCCTCTGACGAGGCCGCTAGCCCCTCCCCTCCCCTGCCCATAGCAGTCAACAGAGACAGCATACAACAATTTAGCAACAATATTGAAATAAACATAGGCATCAGTAA